CGAGAGGGCACAGGCCGGGCTGGGGGACCCCCCCCCAGTGCACAAATTTTTGTGCACCGGGCATCTAGTTGTAATAATAAAAGCAAGAGTCCTAGACAAGGAGGCTCTCTTCAGTTCCTTTAGCTGAAGGTCCTCTGACCCCCAATGCCTTTCAAAATATCTCGTCCCAGTGCACAAATTTTTGTGCACCGGGCATCTAGTTGTGTTAATAAAAGCAAGAGTCCTAGACAAGGAGGCTCTCTTCAGTTCCTTTAGCTGAAGGTCCTCTGACCCCCAATGCCTTTCAAAATTATATCTCGTCTCCGGACTCTTTATTAGTCTCTGGATTCCTATGTCATCTATGTGCAGCCCCTTTTCCAGATTCCTGAACCCTTCTTGATGCTGGGACATGAACCCCGGCAGGATGTAAAGTACATTTAAAAGATGGGTATCTGGATCAGCAATGAGACAAAGACCGGACGATCTCCTGAAGCATGGAGTGCGCTCTCCACATCACAACCTCCCCACGGTGGCGACAATTCCTTACTTGGTAGAGGCAGCTCTGCAGCTTAGCCTGGGCTACGCACCAGCAGCATCTGGGACCTGAGTAGGAAGTGGTATCCTGATGTCTATGGTGCTGTTTGAGTGTCATGTGAATAAGATCCTCTCAGACCACCCTCCAGAGACTCAGAATCAGCACTTCTCTCCATTTACCATGTGCTGTTCTTCATGCTGCAAAATTATGCAAAAAAGCTAGAAAATGATGGATAGCAACATGCCTTACACAGGGATCAGTGAAACGACCTGATAGGCCTTTTCCATCCCTAATGACCCTTCTGATGAACTCAGTGTGAATCTTATGGGCATAAATCATCAAGGAACAGAATTTCTTAGGTTGAGTTTATACAGAACACTCAAGAGGTATGTCATGAGAAGTAACTGAGGCTGACTCTCAGGTATACAGATCTCCCCCTCTCACCTCCCTTTAACGTTTAATCTTCCTCCCACTGTAGTAAAATCTGAGCTGCTCATTAAAAGTGCACTACGGACACAGAGCAACCACATGCAAAACAGCTCAGCGCACGGAGCTTGGTAGAGGCCAGGGTGAGGAATGCTGGAAGCTCAGGTCTGTTTGTCTCCATTTCTCTTGGCCGAAGAAGTTCTGATTTCATCAGCACTGAAATATTAAAGAGCCCATGTGTGAAACAAGCCATAAACCTCCTCCTTAGGCTCGACCATGTGGGCGGAAAGGGTCCCCAGGCACAGCCACCAGAGCCAATTCTTGGGTGTGGGCAAATCTCACTTTAATTGTAAAAGCTTTCATGTACAGCACATCGAATAATGGAAAAAAACAGGAGCTGGGACTCTTCCATCTACGAATACATAAAAGTCCCCCGAAATCCAGGTAGTCAAGGTGGGGGGTCCCTAGGAAAGCGCCCCTCCTCCTCATTTTTCTGCAGATCACTCTACACTCACTTTGAAAGATGACTAGGCATAGTTGGAAGTTCCAAGCAGTAGGATGTGCCTTGCAGGGAGAGAAGAAACCTTTTTATAGGGTCAGGTAAGTACCTCCTAGCAATGCCCCCTGACAAAGTGAGACGGACATCCCGGAGTCAGGCCAGGCCAGACCATGCAGTGAGAGGGCCGGGCGGGGATAGGATACCTGGAGACAGGGAGCACGGGGTGCCGTGCAGCGCCTAACACATCGGTTCACCCCGTAACTCCGACGAGACACGCCCCTCCATGACCGCAGACCCGGGGTGCCCGGAACAGCCATGTGCCACGGCTGCTCTCTCACTGCTGGGGATTGTCAGAGAGTCTCAATTTAGCCCATGGACAAATCCAAACGGTCCCTGAATTGATGCCATCAAGGCTCTTAAGGAAATTCCTGTTTTATTTAGACACACTAATGGACTCCTATTTCCCTAACTGGAGCACCGATTCACCATTAACAGCCTTGCTCTCTCAAGGGTTTCTTCCACACACCGGAGAGGCTTAAGAAAAGTATTGTTTCATTTTGATTTTATTTGATACTTTTGAAAGAGACAGAGGGAACAGAGAGGAAAAAAATGTGATGAATCCCCCAACTTGGGGCCTAGGGGTACAAAACCAGACTTCTCTGCCTCAAGTCCACCCAGACTGCCGGGAATTTTCGGCGCCCAGGGCGTCCGGGGAAGCTAACCTATCACAGTGCTCTAGCTAAAGCATATGTTTAAAACTACAGAGGGTTTCAACTTAACACTAAAAATTTAAGTTGCAACATCTCAGCAACAAATAACTCGGAGAGCGCATCTCAGAAGAGAAAGAACTAATGCCTCGATGTCTGCAAAGCCAAGCTCTGCTCTGCTCCGCCCACCGTCAGGCTCAGGCAGATACGTAAGGGGGCGGCGGCTCCTTGGCTGTGCCGGTCACAGTGGCATCATCGTACGGGGGTAACAGCACCTAAGGAGAAAGAGAGAAGCTGAGGGTCAGTGTTGAAAAGTGCACATAGGTTCTCCTGAGCTTTAACTTCCATTGAACTTTTATGTAATGAAATGTTTCCCATAACCTGGACCAATTTCAATTTTCCAGGAGATGGCCAGACTTTGATGAGATTTCTGAATCCTTTTTAAGCTTTATTTATTGATTTTACAGAGAGAGGAAGGGAGCGAGAGACACATCGATTACTTGTTCACTTATTTATGCATTCAGTGGTTGATTCTCGTATGTGTTCTGACCGGAAATCAAACCCACAACCTTGGTGTATGGGGACGACACTCGAACCAACTGAGCTACCGGGCCAGGGTGAGCCTTTTTGCATCTTTAAAGAAGCAAATGGGAAGAGACGTGTGGCCCTTTCGGAGATTTCCAAGCCCTGCTCACACCGGTCTGGATGCCACGGTGCCCGGAGGGTGAGAGGCTGTGTGTCTAAGGACGGGCAGGAGGCAGTGGTGTGGCTCTGAAGAGGGAAAAGGCTCCGGGGGTTAATGACTGTGGGTACACAAGCAGGGCAGGCGCCCGAGTGACCCCGGGAGCCACGCGTGTGAGATCGGACAGCAGAGTGGAGCACGCAGGGCCAGGGGCCATCTGGACGCGAAGCCTGGCTCAGCCACACTTTCTCGGTGTGGTCTTGGGTGGGTCACTTATTCCCAATTTCCACGTCTGTAAAATGAAGGCCCTTGAGAATGAGAGCGCTATAACGTCCCTAACACACGGCGTGACGCACGCCTGAAGTGGCAAGATAGCACCTGTAAATGGCGGGAGAAACACAAACAGTAAACTGATCGGTAACCTCTGTTCACATGTCCAGTATGAAAACCACCACGTGTAATTGTTTATGAACTGTCAGCATAAGAAAACATCGGCTGATTCTGGCTTTCTTGGAGTAGAAAACAAAACACAAGGGGATTATCGACTCAATGTAATTAGCCTTTTAATCAGTCAACTGACATTTACTATGTACCTACTATGCGACAGGCAGTGTAGGTGCCAGATAATTAAAATAAAGTACAGTTCCCGTCCTTGGGAATTCAGCGATGAGATGAACGTAAAGTGTCACCCACTTCAAGTACTTTGTCGAAAGAGAAAGAATATTCACAAAGGAACAAAACCAAACCACGTCCTGTTACTTTTTCTATTATGGACATTAAAGTGGTTAATGTTTATCAATGTCATGAATTTTCATTTATCTATCCTTTGACTTCTAGACACACACTAAAACATTCTTTTTAAGTTTTTGTCATCCCTACACCCCCAACCACCT